TTTCTTGAATTTAATGTTATTCCATAAATATTCTAGAAACAAATTATGCTGACAGCATTTGTCATGACTATAATATTACATATGGTATTAAATCTAAGAAATTTTAAGAAAAACTGGAAATGAAGGTATATGAATAACCTTGTTTGAGGGAACAAAGGAAGTGATTCTACCATATTTCACAAACACAGACATTTGGATCTACAAGCCAGAAGACAAAGATGTATGTTTTATCTGTATGGTTAGTTGCTCTTGTTGTGCTTCTATACTTATCTCTGATTCACCTTATTTCTCATAGTGAAGGTCATGGTGGTAGCATGCAGAGCAGGTCAGACCTGATTTAATTTTCCATGGCAAAAGATCAGGGGCATAGGAACCTTAGGATACATGAACCCCCCCCCCCATTTTTAATATGGACTCATTCACCTCCATCCGCCCAATGAATCAACCATTAAAATTAAATTACGTTATGTCCCCTCCAATCACAAGCCTTCTCCTACGCCACTGAGTCAGAGATGCTAGCTAATTTTGGGTGATCGGTAGATGTTACCAAGCCACCTGGAAGGTCTAATATCTGCAGGGAAAATTCATTTCGGGTACAACACTGTTCTATTACTCATTACCCACAGCTCATGACCATAGGACAGGGATGCAGTCTGACCAGTAAACTCCCAGCCTTGTCTTATAGGACTTAGCTCCACATACCTCATCACCACATACCTCCTTGGTACCTGCAAAACTGTCATCACCAAACCAATCTGCCTGTCACCTGTCAACCACACATTCCCCTTTAATGTCAATCTTGAACAAGATACCAAGGCACTATAACTCTTTAAATTAGGGCATGCCTGAATTAAGCAATCCACTCTTTTCAAAGTGAGTACCATGGCCTCGGATTTGGTGATGCTGACTCTGATCCAGTGCTGATTGAAGAAAAAAAGCCTGTCCTGGGTTGGGGGGAGGGGGTGGCGGCAGTAAAATTTGTCGACCGGCGGTCAGTGCCCCCTCAGAAGATGCCATCCTGGGCGATTGCCCATCTTGCCCTTGCCAGGATCCAGCCCTGCTCTCATCCCTGCTGTTTCACATGGCATCGAAAGTCCTGGTCAGATGAGGCCGAAAACACATCATATTCAAATGGCAGGGATTTTACTTCTATCCCCCACACTGAAGGCCCTTGCAGCCACAGCTGTGCCTTGTTATCCTGTCCGTAACAGCAAATAGGACTGGAAACAAGATCCACCCCTCTTGGAAGCCAACATTCACTCTAAACAGATTTGATTTTATGTGTAGGATGAGGATACAACTCTTACTGCATTCATGCATTCTGATCAAACAGATGTTTTCAACACTGCCTCCTGCTGAGAGGATATATCTTCTCAATGTGTTCTATTCACAGAGTTGGTCAGCACTTCTCCACCCTGGCTGAACACAACCTAAGCAAGGTCCCACTTCTTCATTGGGGAGACCATAAGCTTTTGCTGACTGCCTTCACTGAGGCTTTTCTAGCCAGTTGGGACCTTTCAGCCGCCTCAGGAGACCCCCATAAAAGCACTGCCCCAAGGGCTTTCTTCAGACTGAGCCCTAGGCCACCAACTGCCTTTCAGTCACAACGCTTTGCAGCTGCTGCAAAGACTGATGCCTTGAATATGGTCCATTTAGAGCTAATACCTTCGACCTTACTTGGCAAGCAGGAGAAGTTTTCTTATAGGTGTGAGTTGAATTCATTTTACACAGAAGCTCTAGCTTGACAATCCCAGCAAACCCTAACTGCTAGCCTGGGTAAACACAGTAAGACTTATGTCCATTTTCGAGGCACTCCTCTCTGTGCACTGAATCTGTCTTATGGCTATATGATGGTTGGTTGATAGCTCTGTCCCTCTCTTCACCCAAGTGTCCAAAACACACAACCTCAAGTTGAATGACACAACAATCACTGTCCTTTGGCCTAAGATACTCTGGTGCCATGCATATTTATGAAAATCCTTTTGTCGAAACAATTGCTTGCACAGAATAAGCACTGAAGCCTTCCGGCAGGAGTGCAGAGTCCTTAAGGGGTACTTTTCCCATTTTCTCTAAGAAGGCTGGGTACACAACAGCTGTTCAGTGCAAAAATGCAAACAACGATCAGTTTTCCTCTCTGCACCTTGCAGTGATATAGAGGCAAGCCTCTTATCTGCCAGGAAAAAGTCCAAATGCTAGGACGAGTTGGTATCCCCACATCGACTTGAGATCTTTCACCATTGGGATCTCCAGGGTAGGACACTCCATCCGTGATCAAGAGGTCTGGTTCCAGACCCCACAATTGTGCATTATGCAAGACTTACTATATCTAGTCCATACCTTCCTACACTATTTCATTCACCTTCCAGATAACTTTCTATGGTCCCAAAGCCAGTGTTTAATGGCAGGGTATAATCTGTCTGGGTCCTTCCCACTCATAACAACCCCCAAAATGGCACTGCGACCTGACTCCAACATTTCATCTTGCAGGTGATGAGCCAACAGGTGGGTGAGCCTGGCTGGGTTAAGCAGGTGGACTGGCCACCATGCGTTCACTGCCAAACAGAAGCTCCTGGTCTGGCCTCCCCCCATGTACCTGTTTGCCAAAGGAGGCCTGACCAGGAGCACAAGCCTGAGCTGACATAACTCTGTGGACCATTAAAGCATAAACCCTCCACCAAGCTAAGGTCATGACCCAAAGAGAGGGGCGCTTTCATACAGAGATCCAAAGTCAGTAACACAAAATGCCTGTTGGGGAAATAAACTTTATCACAACAGTCTCTACAAAAGAAAATATTTCTTGAAATGCATTTTTTTTTTAAAACTATACAAATTGTTATTGATGTTTCAGTCATTTTGCAAAGAATTTATGAGTCAAATTTTTCCCTTGACACCTTTTAGTATTCTCCTGGATCATGATAAACTCAGCATGTTCATCCACTTCAACTGGAAGGGGGGACATTAAGTCTCCACAATATATCATATACATGAGCGCATACGCATGACCATACACTGCAGGTAGAATATCCAAGATCAACATCCCTACCATGATAGTAATCTGGCCCATATGCTTTTATTATTCTTATTATTGTTGTTCTTAAAATATCCAAGCATTTTCTCAGATATAGTGTTAATAATTACACTGAAATATCCAAAATAATGTTTTATATAGTTATTTCTGCTTTATATAGGCCTAAGCCATAATTTAGTGATGTGGCTCTTGATAAGATATATCATTATAAGGCCACATCATGAATGCTTACAAATGAGTAATATTTTTCATTTACCCTACATCATGATTTCTATCATAATTATTTTAACAGAATCACACTTAATTATATATCAAATATAGTAAATAGTTATTAGTTATAGGTGGATATATGATAGGCAGATCTCATTATAAGGTAATAGTTTTCATGTCATCATAATATAAAAGAGTAAAAACAAGCCTTTGTTAGCAGCGAAGCTTTGAACAAATTTTGGTAGTCTCAACATTATAAATTGTCTATAGCTTTTTTTTACCTACTACCATTCACAGTGATCATTTAGGCCACCCACTAAGATTAAGATAGCTAGGTTAGCATTTATGAGAAACTTATTAAAACTACCTGAATTAGTCCCTCATTTTGCATAGATTTCTTTGCTTTAATACACCACTTGCATTACCAATGTTTTGCAGAGGCCGGTGGCTGCCTTTACGTGACGTGTTGCGTACACAAACAGGACTGTAGGGCGCGCAGTGCATTGGCCTGCCTCCTTCGGTAAACCCTCGCCGATTTCCCGGGAAAATTCCGCCCTCCGCGTGAGCTGGCGCGCGTCGAGCGAGATAGCGCTTCGTAATGTTGCTGTATCCACTTCGCACACAAAAACTTTTTTGTCCTACATCCTCGAAGATAAAAAAAAACGATATGCCGCTTGCTGGCTTGAATCGTAGAGGATACTTTCATTACTGTCCGTAGAGCGCTTATCATCGCGCTTTGAAACACAGCTCATCTCAGAAGTCAATACTATTTACAGGATGCGGAGTGGTGATTGTGAGTTAATCATTGTTTTTGGGCCCAGAGGGACTTCGGACAACATCGATTTCTTAACATGATTTCGCGACATTAACTACGGTCGTTTCGGTGGCAATATGCATAGCATAATATGGATAAACGGTAGATAAAAGGAAGTAGGAGTACAATAATTAAAAAATAAACATATAGCCACTTGAATTCTCTCAAAAACACGAGATCATCATTGGTAGTAGCGATGATCTGAATTACCGGGTCCTCAATTATCAAAGAGCATAATCAAAATCAGGCCAAGTCAGGTGCTATTACATATACAAACGTTTCTACGTGATGTATAATGAACTACAGATTTCTGCCCGTTAGCTTAACCGGAACGGTGGACAGAATGTTGCCCTTCAATAGTAAAGTGCCACCGAAAGGGAGCTTACACTTACCCACCTGCCAGACAAGCAGCCTCTGTAACAAAAGCAAGTCATTCAGAAATAACCCAAAGTGTGTGGGTGACTTGCTTTGATCTACATTCAACGTTTTCATCATCCCAGTTCTTCTTCGGAACGTGGGATAACCACCGGACAAACAAGTGCACAAATGTCGGCCAAAGAATCAAACGCGACATATTAATTTTCACTGGAACGAAAATGCAATTATTTGCAAATAAATATGACACTGACCATGGAGAATATACCAGTGAGCAGTTTGAGGGTGTAAGGTATCCCACACGGCCGCGGAAAGAGCATCCACGTACTATTTCCCTGTCCTCTATAGCGCTCCATACAATCTCATTCATTCAATACCCTACGTGGAAGACACAGAACTTAGTACTATAGCAAATACAGTACAGTATCTAGCAGCAGCCCGCCTGAAGCTCAAGTCTGGAACATTATTTGTATAAACGCGCCATTTAAAACTTTGCTGACGTTTATTCTGGGAGAGCCAATCACGTCTTAGCGCTGATTAGGACAATGGAAAGCCAGGGGCGAATCAGCTGAGGTGGTGACTTGGCGGTAGCCAATGGTAGTCGAGCCCCTGCGAGAGTAATGTTACAGAGCTGAGGACTGAGTGAGGAGACTGCGTATCGCTATCGCTCCCACATACAGCCATTGCAGTACATTGAGATACAGCGACAGCCTTTGGTAAGTATCATGCACAGACATTTGAAAGTGTAGGTAAGTAAAATCAAAAAGGCGAATGCTTTTCTTTAGAAAAGGGATATAAAAAACGCGTTCCTGTTGTCGTATTTTTGGGAGTTATATTTTTTTCCTTTATATCGAAACGTCAGAAATAGGCAGTAGTATTTAATCGCTACCGAGCATTAGCCACTCATTGTCAAAATATAAAAAAGAAAAATGCCGCTGTTACATTTTACACGGCGACCGATGTTTTTCCTTAATGCAAATAATTTGTTTAATTGTTAGTTGGTATTCAAAATGACTTTTCCTGAAAAATACACGTCCAGTTATGTGATTTAAAAATCCAAACGTTAAGCGGACACCTGAATTGCGTACAAACAAGGTCCGTGGCATAACATAGCCATTGCAGTGCATTGCTAGACCGACAAGCCTGTCATGTGAAAGACTTGGGACTTCCAGAAATGTCTGTCTAAAAAATAAATGAAGGGGAAAAAATATGATCGGAGCCGAGCTGCAAAAAATGATTTGCCTGTATAGTTATTTTAATCGGGGGGAAAAGAGATCGCGGTTAAAAAATTACCAAAGGATCCTATGCTTTACTGTAATGGCTGACTGTACTCGCATAGGAAACAAGGCTGAGCCAGTCAGGCAGCCTGCTACGCCAGCGCAGTTAGGTGCAACTTTTTAAAACCGCGTTTTCTCCTAAAATCGACTTAAGAGTGTAATATTCGGCGCTGGAAAATAGTAGTTCCATCTTTCCTCTTTCAAATGCTGCTTTTTCGGTATTTTTCCGATGGCGTTTAAGGCTCCAAATCCCAGTCGAAAGAGAGGTGGGGGTCCCCGGTCGGTCTGCCCTCTATTGCACGTAGTGAAATGGCTGTGCGTTGCTGACACAAAGAGAAGGAGCCATATTCTCCGTGTTAGTGGATGAAGACAAGCGGCCATTCCGAGCTCATAGGCAACTAACTCAATGCAACCCTCACATAGACATAGTACAGACCCAGTGTATTGCTATACACCGGGGCGAGTGCATAGGAATCACCGAAGGGAAAAATCAGCCAAGAAGACGGACTGCACAAACATATTTGTCGAGTTAAAAAATCGAACAGGAAGGCGGGTGGAGACATTTGAAGGGGACTTTCTTTCATGAAGAAGGCTTTCTCACAAAATGGAAGAAGAAATATTGCCGTCGTTGTTGACCTCCTTTTCCTCAACAAGAGTCTATGCGCCATTGCTAGTTCTGAATATACGGTGAAAGACCTGGTATTTAGTGGGGAATACGTTGGAAATGGAAAAATTAACCTTATGATATACGTGTTTTTAGGAATGCTCGTATTATCTATAGAATTACATTTTGCGCGTTTTTGAGCCTTTTTCTTGCTTTTAATTTTCATTTTATTTTTAAATGTTTTCCGATGTATTTTTTTAAAAGCAATCATTTAAATAAAGTTGACCGATTACACAATTTACAATATTAAAGGCATTTTGTTATTTTTTACGTTTTTTCCAGTTTTTCATTACTAGGTTAAAATAAAATCCACGATGATACTAAAAGATATGAACTTGACTAACTTTGAACAGGGGCGAAGTACTTTGTTTTTAAAAGTGTAGTGATTTTCGCAGGCATTTCGCAAGTATTAAGAGCTTCGCTTTCTAAGCAACATCCTGTAGCATATAATACTAAAACTGGATGTGGGTGTCATTGTTTTGGTGTGGAAAATTAACATTAAAGGGATTAAAACGTTTTAATTTTTTTTTCCCGTTACATATTGTCGGACTTGTCCTCTATGACGGACCAGTTTCGGACAACACCCCCCCGCCCCGCATGAAGACGGGGGCATTTACTCATTGTTTACCAGCAACTTAAGAACCGGACATGTTTAGTCAGGGAGCTGCGCTTTAAAGCGGTTTTTTTCCCCGTCCTGTCCCGGAGGCGAGAGGGCTACAAGGAAGCAGGCGCGATAAAGGCTGGGCTGCAGCCGAGCGCTTATTCCATTACGCTCCCCGCTGACTTGGGTGCCCGCGTAGTGCTGCTGTCCTGCCGCGTGCGGTCGCGGGGTAGCGCGCTCCTGGATGCGCCCTGCGGGAAACTCCGGGTTTTTTTCCGCCCAGAGTAATCTTGGTATATTTTCCGCCTTCATTTTTGTAGTTACTCCGAGCAAGATGGGTAAAGATCCAACGAAGCCAAGAGGCAAGATGTCCTCTTATGCCTACTTTGTGCAAACTTGCCGGGAGGAACATAAGAAGAAGCACCCTGAAGCTTCTGTCAACTTTTCTGAGTTCTCCAAGAAGTGTTCTGAGAGGTGGAAGGTAGGGGAATCAAACTATTATCTAAATTAGTTTTACAGGTATTCTTCAGTAAAGAACATTAATAAGGGAATACTTGGTTCATAAGGTCATCATAAATTAAAGATATACTATACAAATTGGAATTTGCTTCACTTAACCTATTATTCTCCAGACCATGTCTGCCAAAGAAAAGGGCAAGTTTGAAGACCTGGCCAAACTTGATAAGGCACGTTATGAGAGGGAGATGAAGAACTACGTTCCACCCAAGGGCGAGAAGAAGAAGAGGTTTAAGGACCCTAATGCCCCCAAACGACCCCCGTAAGCACTTCTTTGGTGCCTTTTGGCTAAACCTCCATACATTTTTAGAGTTTGAGTCGATTGACTGAGTTTTATCAATGTTTTCCAGGTCTGCCTTCTTCATTTTCTGCTCCGAATTCCGTCCAAAAGTGAAAGGAGACTCCCCTGGCATGTCCATTGGTGATGTGGCCAAGAAGCTGGGAGAGATGTGGAACAGCACCTCTGCAGAGGACAAGCAGCCATATGAGAAGAAGGCTGCCAAGCTGAAGGAGAAATATGAGAAAGTGAGTTTATGCTGGGAGTGTAAAGACTTGATTGGTTTAAAAGCAACCTTTGAAACTTAGCTTAAAGAACAAGTTCTATGTGAAACCAGATTTTATTAATGTGGTTGTACCTTCCTGGGTGGTGCCGTTTCTTGTGGGGCATTAACAGGTGACCGTCAGAAGTTCTATGTAAGAGACACTAGGGGCACCAGAATCCTGAATGTGTCTGCTCTTCCCTTTCCTCCCAAAGGACATTGCGGCTTACCGTGCCAAGGGTAAGCCCGACGGGGGACCCAAGAAGGCCCCTGCCAAACTGGAGAAGGCCAAGAAGAAGAAGGACGACGATGATGACGACGACGACGATGATGATGATGATGAAGAGGAGGAAGAGGAGGATGATGAGGACGATGATGACGAATAAATTTGTTACGTCCGGAGCTTAGATTTCCTGTTTATAAAGCATTTAACCCCCTGTACACACTTCACTTTAAAAACAAAAATGGAAAAAATAAGGCTGTGTATATGATGTTTTTAAGCTGTACAGTTGGTTTTTTTTCCTCTTTCTCTCTCTACTCTTCTTTTGTATAGTTAACACTACAAAGTGTCATCCATCATTTTCCTTCCTTTTTTTTATTTTCCAGTGGTAGTTGAGCCCCAATCCCTGCCGAGTACAGCTTAAGGGGCTTGTAAACTGGCGTGGAGATGGTGGGCTTTCATAGTGGTGCCCAGCACATTTTTTTCCCCCGTGAGGTAGTCATTCTTTTTCCTGATGTATTTGTGTGTTTTATTTTTTTATGTATTATCTTAAAATTTGCCGTATCATAAGATTCTTTTACTGTACTTTGAATACCACTCTGTAATTGCAAGAATAATTAAAAAAAATGCGGCTGTTTTTGTTGACATTCTGAAATGCTTCTGAAGTAAATAAACCCTTTTTATATAAGGCTTTTGTTTTGGCCTCCAGTTCCATCTACTGAACATCGTAAACCAACCATATGTGGCTACATATGCTTATCTGGTATTTTTATTATGCTATATATGACTAGTCGTACATTTAATGCGATGTAGCTGTGGTGATGCAATGCAAAGTGACTGCTGTCATGTGACCAGATGCACCATCAGTCTGCAAAAGCATCAAATGCACTGTTCCTGGGTTGTTTTTTTTTTTCTACAAAAAAAGATTGCAGAGTCTGTGAACTGCAGATGCTGTAATTCAGATCACGCTAAGCTGTCAGTGGTGCTTGCACGGAGCTGGCATTTAGTGTTGGCCTGCAAATGAATAGGGATGTGCAGATACACAGCAGTGTGAGCACCACTAACCCCCCCCTTCTCCCACTGTAGCCAGGCCTTTCAGTCGACTGGACAAGCAGCACTCTGTAAGAGAGGGTTGTGAGTCATGGGCACATTTGTTACCTTATTAGTTGGCTTTTTCTCTGCCAGTGCAGAAGTGTAAACCCCAACCCATTTGGGTCTTGAGCACATGCAAGGCAAGCTTGGTCTCTCCTGCATGCATGAAGTTCCCTGCCAAGTTGGGGTCAGTCAGCGGCTCCTCTGTCTGCGCCAATTGCCACATCAAAAATGATGACCCATGTTTGTAATTTAAGTGTTCTACAATAAAACAGCGGTGTGAAATACCCCCCCCCCCCCCAAATTACACATGCTATTGTAATTTACTTACACTTATGTCCTGAGTGTAATTTTGCAAACAACCAGCCGACTGGATATCAGACATTCCACAGTTACTTGGGGGGAAAATGGCAACTTTCCTAAGAGATCCAGGAAGAAGCACCGGGGGTAGTACTGTGTGTGTGTGTCCACCTCAAAATGGACTGGGATCCTGTCAAAGGGGTACCAAGGCTTTTTGTCCTATACTGCCTGGCATAGACTTCAGACCCCCCTACAACACTGTCCAGAATAATCAGTTAGAAGATGGATGGATAACTGGTCCACTGATGAACCTTGACAGCACCACATGTGCCACAGGGGCTGGGAAAACATGTTTGTTATATATATATATATATATATATATATATATATATATTGCAGGTGAATTACAAGGGTTTGAACTGTCAGAGTGGTTTTGCTTTGTGTCTGTATCGGACACGTGCGTCATATGGTGAACACGTTGTGCTGGTTTTAAATACAGTTAGAACGCCACATTGAAATACAATAACACAGTATCTAACACGTACTGCTGCAGATTAAAGGAGGTGAATGAGTGATTTTTTTCTTACGAAGCCTACTCCTCACGGATGGTTTATATAACAGCATAATTCGTTTTTTGTTCCGCGATTACAAATTACTTAAAAGTCAGCTGAGATGGGCTGAATGTATGAGTTACTGACTAAGAGTAACAGAAATGGGAAATATAAGCACGAGAATTGTTTAAATTCCCACAACATAAACGAGTATGGTACAGTTCACAAGCGTAAATTTACTAATTAATGAAGTGAAAAACAATATCATTTTCAAATTAAAACCCGGTGTATTAAGACAACATGGAAACCAACACGTGGCGGTCCGGGTCCACGACTTTCCCCTGTCAGTTCTTGTTCTCGCAAGCTGCAAGGGCATTAAGAAATTCGTAGAAAAAAAGGCCCCGAACCACCAACTCCCTGAGTCCTTACATACCTTCGAATCGTGCCTAATCGGAGCCACCTGCTGTTCATTTTACCAAATTACACAATGATCGACACACAAAACGCCACCTAGTGGTGATTCCTCCCACATTTGTTGGCGTGAAACTGCATATCTGGGATTAAATTGAAGGGAAAAAAATAAAGTGTACGCTATTCTCTACGAACCTAAAAGTTTTTTTGTATTCTAATTATAAATGTACAAATAAAAATAGAATGTAGGCCCTATTGCTTTTACCATGATGTCTAATGTTACTCATATAAAGTTCCACACTATTTTGGTACATTAATGGTACTTGATACAACATTGTGCAGCTCTGTTCAGTTCAACATCAGATTCTGAAGGATAGTTTTGTCACTTGCGGTTATGACAATGGCGTTTCAGGCACTAAAGTTCGCTATTTTAACAAAGTGCAGGCTAAGACTCTTTGCTGTTCCTAGTTTCCCAAAATGTGTTTTTGATTCAAAAGACATTTTTAGTGTAGCCTATGTAGCCTACTATCCACGACGCTTGCTGCAAATTGAAAATATACGGTGGGAAATATAGAGCAATAGTATTTTGTGTGTCTGTGTTAAAAGGCACATGCTATAAAGTCAGCCCTACGAATAAAATGTAAAGGTGATATAGGAAGCAAAGTGAAACGGCCCGATCCTTCCACTTGCCTGTCTGCGGGTTGATGTATCGCTCCTGATGAAAACCACGTGTGCTTGCAATGTTATACAGACATTGTTACTTGGACTTTGACAACATGGGATTTTAAAACCCATTTAGAAGTTATATATTTATCCTGTATGTATTCCTATCTTCTTATGGGCCTGAGAACATGAAAATGAAAACGACAGATTTCAGTGCAGTCGGAGCTGTAGATGGGACCGTGGGAGACGGGGCTGCGTAGATCACGTTTGCAGAGCGGAGATCCAGATGGTACGCAGCAGCTGCGAGGTAAACGGGGCCGGACGGCTGGTCCCCCCATCCCCGCGACATGGGACTGAACAGCCGGCAGGGGACCCTACACGCTGCATTCAGAAGGCGGAGCTGGCGGCTTGCGGTGAAACATTAAATGGTTCAGGAAAGGACACAGACGGGCAGATTTTCGCCGCGGCAGATACATTAACTACTAAACATAACGGTGAGGTGAAACAAATGTTGTCTCAAGGTCATACATTTACAAAATACAATCTCAAAACGTTATTTGATGTTAATTTTATGTTTTTGTCTGATGGGCTGCTTGCTCAGTTAGGTAACCGACAATAATGTTCTTGTGAATAAATGTGAGACATTGTTAATCATTGTCTTTTGATCTGTGGTGTTTTAAACCAAGATTCCTTCGATAGGACATGTGTCTGTGTTAAATGGTGAGACTTGTAAGTATCTGCTTAGTAGCTGTGAACCTTTAAATGCTAAGTTCTGTTTCTGGTTTTGACTTTTTATTTCATGTCCATCCAAGACCATGGAAATCATTTATGTACTAAGTTTAAACTGAGAGATTTCAGAATTAGTATGCAGGGTCAGGGCTGTAGAGAATGATGTTGGGCCCCATGACAGCATATTATATCGGGCCCCCAGCCCAGATCAGTCACATTATGTTCCAAATTTTTTAGGGCTGCAGTCTCTCAGGGCCCCTTGGAATCGTCCTAACTTTCCCCCACTTTACGGTGTCCCTACGCAGAGTGACTCATGGTCACTCGGGACTATAGCCCCGAGTATTTTAACCCGATACCAATCTTCCATCAGAAAGGAAATCAAGCCCCGGGGAAACTTGACTTAGCCCCTGATTTTTTTCGATAGCTAGAAACACCCCAGACTCATTCTATCAGTTTAATAACTTATTTCCAGGAGCTCAGTCGGTAGAACTTTCGCCTAACATTTCTAAGAAAGCTTTGTCTCTTTTTGTGGAGTTGCAATGCCCGAATACATGAATCTGCACGGTGACTCCAGTATGAAGGCTCTGTGATATCACAGAGTGGTTTGGCTTTCAATTCATTAAGTCTTGTGGTATTAAAATACATAAAACCTATTATATGCACCAGCATTTTGTATCATTTGATATAGCCAACTTAGTCAAAGTAATTTATTGATCAGGGTCTGCCTATTCTATCATAAGGTTGTCAGCCCTCAAGAATACAGCGTGACGCTCATACTCGCGGAAATCTCACGCAAATAATCTTACAGCAAATCTATATTATTCCATTGTAAGCCTACAGACTGGTATTAACATACAGACTATTTACAAGGTAAAGAAACTGTTACATGCATGTAAATGTGTGTGCACGCGTGTGCAGACTCGTCACAAATTGAAAATCTCACTCCAGCCAGCTGATCAAAGCTGGCAGCTCTGCTATCATAAAGATCATATCTGTAATTCATTTGGGTCTAGTTAAATTGAATGTGAAATTTTCCAGTTACAGGTGTCACTGGACATTTGAAAATGTCTTTAGATCCAAATTTCTCTCAATATACAAGTTTTCAGGTTCCCAGAGTCAATCATTGCCTCTTTCCAAACTCAACAAACCAGTTAAGTACTCTTAAGTATTAATTTCCCTTAGGTATTATTTACTGCACACAGATATTAAGGTGGATTTTGTATCAAGTGGAACACTGAGTATATTAGTCATTACAGAATATATTAATACACGTTTTCCCTCCTGACTATAAAAAGATCATTAACAATAGATGACACTGGGAAGAATTCCTGTGCTAATGAAAAGAGGTTCTTAAGTCGTCTGCATTAAAATGCTCTGAGAGGTAATGTTTCAGTGTGCCTGCAATATCAAATTTAACGTTTTATTTTACAAATAGTGTCCCTCTCCTGTTTGTCTAACGTGACATGAGAGTAGAATTTTTGGTCTTTGCCAAGAGCATATAGATAGCCTGGCATGTGGAATCTCTGGTAGCATCCATCAAATTAATAAGAAAAAAGATAATCATGAAATATATATAAGCTGCTATGAAAAGAATTTCTAAATGTTGACAAAAATATTATATATTATAAAAAGATATGGGCTTCAACTGAGAATCTGTTGGCCACATTATTAGGTACACCTTGCTAGTACTGGGTTGGACCCCATTTTTCCTTTAAGAACTATATTAATTCTTCATGGCAAAAATTCAACATTCCTCAGAGATTTTGATCCATGTTGAGTTGACAGCATCATGCAGTTGCTGCAGATTTGTTGGCTGCACCTTGATAATGCAAATTCCACAATATTCCATAGGTATTCTGTTGGATTTAGATCTAGTGACTGTGGAGGTCATTTGAGTTCAGTAAACTCATTGTCATGTTCAAGAAACCAGTCTGAGACAATGTG